CCTATCTCACCTGTTTATCCTTTACCTTGATTCCGGAAATATTTTCTTTTATTTTATATTGCTGTTAGTAATGTAAATAACATCATAATAATTATAATATCTATAATATTAATAATAACAGCATTAATCTTGACAGCATTAGTTAATATCATTTTTCACGAAAACTCAAGGAAAGGTAATATCACATGAGGTGACGTGATTGAGTAATTGACTATTTGGTATTAAGCACTTGTGGAGCCATTATGTGTAAAGACATTTCACAAGACAATACTACGGTAAACACTACACTTTCACGGCAGTATTGGGTTACAACAGGTGCACTGAGAGAGGAGGTATGTTATGTATACAGATACATGCATCATCAATATTTTTTAATTCCATCACTGTACTGAATTGTGAATAACTTGAATAATGTTAACCATGTATTTTGTAAAGGCATTTCTTTCTAACTTGTGTGAATCGAGTCTAGATTAAATATGCACCTTACTTAAACAGAAGGAAAATTCATATTATATTATTTGTGTCTTACATACACAATCATGGGTATCACTATATATTATTTCTATCTATTGTTTTGTCTTTTAATTAAAAAACATAGTCATTCATTTGTATGGAGTATTTTAAAATATATTTAAACACCTGTTTATCGTCTTCTTGTAAAATTTGTCTGGATTTTGTGTTACATTTAACATCAACAAACAGTGATTTGAGTGCATTAGAGTTCGCTTTCTAAAGTTGTCTAAAAAAAAAAAAAAAAATCTAAATTGAATATAAAAAGCTGCATGATTCAAACATTTATCTTCTTTAACACAGGTAATTACAGACCTCCATAACCTCTTGAAATAATCATTTCAATATTCATAAAACTTCAAAAGGACACTGAAAGGAATAACACCTGTATCTCTGAGCAACTTGCTGCATGACCTTGAATTCCAATGTATCAATATTTTTCAAGATTCTGCTAAGTGCCTGACCCCAACCTAGCTATCGAGTGCGATCTAAATCAAACGAGGACAGTGTGTTGTTCCAGAAACACGACACTCTATTGCAGGCCCAAACTTTGACCTATTTCCAACCTTGACTTTTGAAACATGAAAAAGAATTAAGAAAGCAGATCTCCGCACAACTTCCTACCTATTAACTATGATAACCTTATTAACAAAAAATCAATACAAGAGAGACCGTATTTATATATCTTTTTTCTAGAGCTCAGGTCTACTGTAAAAATCAAGGTAACAGACAAAAACTCCTGATACTCATATCTCTGCTTAGCATGAATAATAAACCATTCAAGTATTACTTAACTGTTACTATATGACAGACAACAGAAATACTCAACTCTATCTGACATACTAAAAACAAAAGATAGAGAAAGAGGGAAAAAACATTCGTAACAAAATCGTTAAACATGGAAGACTATGGAAAAAGAGAAAGCATATGTGTTTCAAAGGCACACACACATACACAATGTCTTTCAAAATGTGACTTTTTCTCATAATTACCCTGTGGTGCAATGCTAGACAATGACCAAGGACTCCCTGCCTTGCACTCTGGCAAAGACCACACACCTCCACTATGTATATTCCAAGACTTGATTAATTCTTAATTTGACCAATAAATCATCAAGCAAGTCTAAGATACGTAGTAGTTTGTTGGTCTTTACTGATGCACCGAAAGGAGAGGCGCAATACTGATCAGCACACGGCTTGTGGATACCTTCAATAATTTAACAATATACAGAATACCTACACCTTGACTGTTTGCCTGTCATAGTACCCTGGCATGACTAGACTTTCTTTTTTTATGACAGGAAATGCCTACAATAATCATATTCAGATTTTTTTTTTGGTGTGTGTGTGTGTGTGTGTGTGTGTGTGTGTGTGTGTGTGTGTGTGTGTGTGTGTGTGTGTGTGTGTGTGTGTGTGCGTGTGTGTACGTGTGTGTGTGTTTGCGTGTTTGTGTACATGTGTGTGTGTGTACGCGTGTGTGTGTACGTGTGTGTGTGTGTGTACGTGTGTGTGTGTGTGTGTACGTGTGTGTGTGTGTGTGTGTGTGTACGTGTGTGTGTGTGTGTGTGTGTACGTGTGTGTGTGTGTGTGTACGTGTGTGTGTGTGTGTGTACGTGTGTGTGTGTGTGTGTACGTGTGTGTGTGTGTGTACGTGTGTGTGTGTGTGTGTGTACGTGTGTGTGTGTGTGTGTACGTGTGTGTGTGTGTGTGTACACGTGTGTGTGTGTGTGTACACGTGTGTGTGTGTGTGTGTACGTGTGTGTGTGTGTGTGTACGTGTGTGTGTGTGTGTACGTGTGTGTGTGTGTACGTGTGTGTGTGTGTGTGTACGTGTGTGTGTGTGTGTGTGTGTGTACGTGTGTGTGTGTGTGTACGTGTGTGTGTGTGTGTGTGTACGTGTGTGTGTGTGTGTGTACGTGTGTGTGTACGTGTGTGTGTGTGTACGTGTGTGTGTGTGTGTGTGTACGTGTGTGTGTGTGTGTGTACGTGTGTGTGTGTGTACGTGTGTGTGTGTGTACGTGTGTGTGTACGTGTACGTGTGTGTGTACGTGTACGTGTGTGTGTACGTGTACGTGTACGTGTGTGTGTGTGTGTGTGTGTGTGTGTGTGTGTGTGTGTGTGTGTGTGTGTGTGTGTGTGTGTGTGTGTACGTGTGTGTGTGTGTGTGTGTGTGTGTGTACGTGTGTGTGTGTGTGTACGTGTGTGTGTGTGTGTGTACGTGTGTGTGTGTGTGTGTGTGTGTGTACGTGTGTGTGTGTGTGTGTGTGTGTGTGTGTGTGTGTGTGTGTGTGTGTGTGTGTGTGTGTGTGTGTGTGTGTGTGTGTGTGTGTGTACGTGTGTGTGTGTGTGTATATCTCAATCCGCATTATTCTGGTGATAGTAAACAATAAAACTAAATTCTCCTAACTCACAGACTTCTAAAAATTTTCATATAAACAATGGTTCTTCTTCTTGAATATAGATATTTTGGGCACAAACCTTCAAACATGCTCAAAGGATGGTACAGTATTTTTTTTAATCACTGCATCAGACATCGCAAATCATGAAATACTAAAACAAACAAAATAATAAAAAACAATCTATATGACACATGAAGTGAGTCACTGGGTGTGACAGCCTTCTGGCAAATGGAGGAACCTAATATATGCATAGTTCTATAAAAAGGCAGCATTCCAGACTGAAGAAAACATAGGTAAACTAAGAGCATGTTTACATAAAGTAGTACTGGCAAGAAAAGATCAATTTATTGGTAGAAAATTAGACACAAATCAGATATAACCAGATTTTGTTGACCTTGATTAGTAACCTTGACCTTTGAGCATGTATATTTCTTTCAAGATGTAGACCTTTACATAAATCCCAACCTATCTTCCACGTTCCCTTCACCATCACTATGAAACATGAATGTAAAAGGTAATATACGGCAGTGAGGTAGATCTCGTTACTGGTGGCACACATAAAAAATAAAAATATATTCAAACAAATAAATATATATAATTTCTATTTGCAACCACATAATTCTGTGAATATAATGCCATACTTCCTGCAACTACATTGCTAGATATCTGCAATTAAGGATATATTTGTCTTGCACACGTGGATTTTCTTCCAATAACCATGATTTTCTTTCAATAAACATGTTTATTCTTTCTGTATATATCCTATTAAAATTGTAAATTGCATAATCACTCATTTTTTCTTCTTTTCTGCAATATATCTAAGGATACACTAGCAATCTAGAGCTCTGAAAATCTAGCACATCATTATCTTGACACTGTTGGCATTTCCGAGTCACTTCACTTTTACCAAATATCAAATAAATAAAACAGAAACACACACAAAGCCCAAACCAGATTCATTTCCAAGTTCTCATTATGACAATAAAGAAAAAGGCTGTCACATAAACGGCAAGACAGTTGAAAACCAATTCGAAATTCTATCCTTGGTTCAGTACTGAAGTATGACGATTCACTATTTATAGCTGACCTTTTAAAATTTCTACACGACAGCAATCACCAAAAGTGTGTTTGAATTAAAAGAACTTCAGAATAAATACGAGAAGAATCATTCAGACTGAAGAATCAATGACGTACCAGTGCCAGGTAGGATACGGCAGCAGGTGCTTCTTTGTGGTAGCAGGTGCCAATTCCAAAAGGCAAGCGCTGCGGCGAACTCTGTCCTCCAAGAATACGATAAAAAAGTTGCACTGTCTACTGTCCTAGTGGCACTACCATAAAATCCTCGCCAGGGAGCATGGCAACTGATGGTACTGGGTGGTGTCAGGTTGTCAAAGACACTACTACATGGCAACCTAACATTCTGTGATCATTGATGTAGTTGTGGTGCCAGGGTATGTGGTGACAAGTGCAATTATATGATGACAAAATGCTGTATGTGCTGTTTGGTGGTGAATGTTACTGTTTGGTGATGGATACTATTGTGTGGTGATAAGACGTCATTGCCTGGTGCTGGGGGTGAGGTGACAGACGTCCTTACGTAGTGCCAGAGTGTGGTGAAAGACCGTCCATCTGTGGTGCCAGGACGTGTGGTGAAAGACGTCGCTATATGGTGCCAGGGTCTGCAGTGCCAGGGTGCAGGGTGAGGGCCGTGGCAGAGCGGTGCCAGGGTGTGTGTGTGTGACAGCCACCTTGACTCGACAGCATCAGCTGATCACCCGGAACGACGTGACCCGAACTTCACCTTATCCTTCAACCCCCTTTTATCCAAGTCCCTGCTCCGTCTCGCCTCCTCTTCTGACAAAACCGAATCCTCCTGTTGCTATTACCACCCACAAACCCTCGCAGCACCCCTAAACAACCCGTAAATCGAAAAAAAAAACAACCCTTCATCAAGATTTGGGGGGTTTTGGGATCCTTGACACAGATCGTAAACAGCACCCAAACGCATTTCCCAATTCACGAGCCTCAAGACCCCCCTTTAACCCCCCCTTCTATGGCCCCAAACCCCCTCCCCCTCCCCCTACCATACTCACCGGCAGAAGAAGGAGTTCAAGACGAGTGAAAAGACCCAATAAACCACAAGGATATCCGGAGAAGTGAGGGTCGTGTGCTCAAAATGGCGAGGACTTCCGCCCCGGCCGACTGAACGCTCGCGACTGAGGGAGGAGAAAGGAATGTCGGCGCTGGCAGAAAATGGGAAAATGACACCGGGGTTTTCTCTCTTTTTTTCCCTTTGATTCGTCGTCGCTCGTCTTGAAGGATGGATGGTGGTTGGGGTTTTGGAGAGGAAGGATAGGTGTGGCTAAGGCGGTCTATAGGGATGTCTGTATGGTCTATAAGGATGGAAGGGAAAGTTGGATTATTTTTCTCTCTCTCTCTTTCATTCTTTCTCATCTCTCTCTCTTTCTCTCTCGTGGGGATCCTAAAGATTTTTTTTTAATCGCTCATCTTGCAGGAATACAGGTTTCTGTATCATTGAATCTTTGTCCTGACTTTTCGGGTCTTATTTAAAGATGATGGTAAAAACTGCCAATTTTGCCTTTTCTTTCTCACGTGCATCCTGATTCTTTCCTACTTCGCGGATATCCTGTAGTCCCCTTTGAAGGATGTTCCCATGAGAAAGACTACCATGACATCCTCATCCTAGATAATTTCAGACATTAGAAGACCTGGCATTCATGGAGGATCCTTAATTTAAAAACTAGGGAGGGAATATCGGCTCCAGACACACACACAGATCTCAAGACGAGGCGTGAGTGTGATAGGATGTGGGGACTTAATTCGGCGTGATTTTGCATGCTACGATGCCAATGACTCCACACTTTCCTACTCTTAATGGTTGTCTCTACGTCGTTGTGCGATATGCGATGCCCTGAGTAAAGGTAGTCTCTTTATTAAACAGGTAAAACGGCGTAGGTGTAGGTTTTGCCGTCGTGGTTGCCAAAATAGATTCGCTCGTGTCAAATATAAGAGTTTTTTTTCTATTTTCATCAGCACATTGTTCATTTTGGTTCATCTACAGACAGTCAGATTCCTGAATTATTTTACCGTAATGGAGACTCTCAAGACGCAAGAGTGTAACACTTCCTTGTAATTTTGCTCGCTTAACGAACATCCTCTCGTGACTCATTATAATTACCTATGAGCTTCATTATCCATTACGTCTCTCCAGGGCTCTACTTTAAAGCATACATGGAGGACATACGGTGCATCGTTATTTATCGTAAAAATAAAATCGACGCTAAATAACGTACATAGAGATCCGTGTGTTACCTAATCAAACGATGACTCAACATCTTAAGACTTTTTTCAGCTCGCTATCAACACCAGGGACTTGGCTCTATGTCTGTTTGTTTGCCTCACTTTTGTGTCTAGACATACGCTTTCTCTTTACGATATTGGGTTTTACTTACACACAGAGTAACGGGTAGAGAAAAAGGAACACATCTATAAAAGTGATACACTGATATGCAGGCGGAGAAAAGATTTAAAACCAAAAAAAAGAGTATTCTCAATTCTCGTTTTTCAAAGTGATACACTGATATGCAGGCGGAGAAAAGATTTAAAACAAAAAAAGAGTATTGTCAATTCTCGTTTTTCATTTTCATCCTGAAGCCGGTGAGCGACTTCCGTTTTCTCGACTCTATGATGTCTGTCTCTGTATGATAACACTTCCTGGTAGGTTGTGTGACTTCCATTTACATTTAAAAACTTCACTGACGTAGGAAAGAAATATTCCTAGCAGCACATTACTAGTATGTTACAAATTTTCCTCAGAAAAGTCTTGTTGTTTTTTTTCCTATTGTTAACTTCAGGCATGAGGAAAAAAACGTTGGGTCACGTACAAGCGCAATAGCAAGTACAGTTATAGATCAGTGCGGCAGGTTATCAGATAAAGAGTGAGCAGTGTAAATGGGTCGATTACTGTCCTGCTACACCCAAGTTTATTTTCAACTATTTCATTTTTTACTGAAAATTGTGCAGACGTGTTCGCTCTTCGGAGCTCACAGTTAATCCATTTACACGCACAAATATATATACATATATAAATAAATATATATATGTATATATATATATATATATATATATATATATATATATATATATATATATAATTGTGTGTGTGTGTGTTGTGTGTATCCATATTATGTGTGTATGTGTATATATATATATATATATATATATATATATATATATATATATATATATATATATATATGTATGTATGTATATATATGTATTTATGTTTATGAATATATAGATGGATAGATTCCTATCTCAGTTTCTCTTTCTTTGTTTTCCTTCTTTATCTTCTCTTCTTTGTCTCTTTCTCTCTCTCTCTCTCTCTCTCCTCTCCCTCTCCCCTCCCCCCCCCTCTGTGTGTGTGTGTGTGTGTGTGTGTGTGTGTGTGTGTGTGTGTGTGTGTGTGTGTGTGTGTGTGTGTGTAGACACAAACTGCATGTGTACACATACGGATCCCCACACATACACACCATAAACGCACATGTGCGCGCGCACGCACACACAGAAAGAGAGAGAGAGAGGGAGAGGGAGAGAGAGAGAGAGAGGGAGAGGGAGAGGGAGAGGGAGAGAGAGAGAGAGAGAGAGAGAGAGAGAGAGAGAGAGAGAGAGAGAGAGAGAGAGAGAGAGAAAGAGAAGCAGGAACAGAGACAGACAGAGAGAGAGAGAGAGAGAGAGAGAGAGAGAGAGAGAGAGAGAGAGAGAGAGAGAGAGAGAGAGAGAGAGAGAGAGAGAAGCAGGAACAGAGACAGACAGACAGACAGACAGACAGACAGACAGACAGACAGAGAAGCAGGAACAGAGACAGACAGACAGACAGACAGAGAGAGAGAGAGAAGCAGGAACAGAGACAGACAGACAGTCAGTCAGTCAGATGTTGATCTCCTATTTATACAACTATTTTCTTTCGGTAACAAAATTATGCAAGACTTCTCGTTAACGGAAACAGTTATCAAACTGGTTCTGTGTGTTAGACAATTCAGAAAGTACCGGAAATTGTTCGTTCATTCACTAAGAGAGGAAGTCGCTAAACCAACTAAGAGTCACCTTTCACAAGGTCCCGTTATCTGTTGTTCTGCCATTATATGTCGTATCGCAGCCCAGCGCTTTTGTGAACTTTACAGAACGCTGCCACAGATCAGTGCTACGGCGGTCCTGTAGGTTAGGTGTTATTTTTGTGAATCTGTTTCGAATTATTTAATCCGTTTGTATACTAATCGTACCTTTACTTCGTGGTTTTTGGTTTTCTTTTGTGTGTGTGTGTGAGATCGGGTTTTGAAGCTGTGATGGGAATAAACGAACGCATTCTTCCTCGGGAATTGTAGGAAATATAGTGTAGTGACGTGGCAGATAGGAAGCCTATAAGAGGAAAAAAAAAGATATGCAAGTTTTAAGGATAAGTGGGATCGCTGTCACGTTAAGGTTTTTATAATTTACAATAGTTTTTTTTTTACTAATTTTATCAAGTAACGCACGGAACCACGGCGTAATAAATCCTTAATTCAACAGTGACTTACCGCGATCTATAGTGCAAATCGAACCAATTGAGAATGAAGATAAAAAACAACAGTGCAAATATCGTTATTTCCTCCTGTCGTGAGCGCCGTGGTAAACCGACGATAGTCTCGGATCATTGGGATCAGCCGCAGCGCCAGAGTGGCTGCGGTCATGTCGTGGGATCATTTTTATGTTCATTCATGGCGTCTACGGGAGGCGAAGTGGTGAGCCGAGCGGCCTCGTTCATTGTGGCAAAGGGCAGCGACACGGGGCTGGCAAGGGCGGCGCGTGATCGTCGGCGAAAAAAAGCAGACGCGCCTATTGTGAAGCGGACTTTCGACGCGAGTCAAGTGTGCCTTCAGGAGGTTCTCGATTCATCTTTTTTTTCGTACAAAGAGGTTTCGTGAATCACTTCCACGTTTCGCTGTTGAAGATACGTAGGTGTTCCAGAAGTTGAGTAACTGTGTGTACGAGCGTAACGCGTATTTTCAGCGTGAGAAGAATGAAGTCCTCTGAGAGAGAAGTGAGTATGCGAAATTCAGAAGATGACAACATTAAGCCTACTCGTACTGGATGATATCCCGTTGCCGTCCTCAGCATACGTCTCACACTAGAACCTACAACTTCACCAAAAAGGCAAAGGAATTCTGAAAAGTTATATCACAACTTCGGCAATGCTTCTCTCTGTTCTTTAAATCTCACCTTAGTAGCTGAATATAGTATCTGACGATGACTAGTCTTTGTCCTAGTGCACAAAGGACCATCAGTGGCATCCTAATGAGTATCAGGCACTATATTCTATTTCTTGTTGTTTTTTCACTGAGTTGTGTCAATATATCCACCCATTGGCGTCCAAAAATGCCTCTGTTAAAACTAGATCAACTAACGACGTTCTTCGCAACATGCCTATACGTACGAGACACATCAGAAGCTGTTCCCATGTGATCACCGGTATGTGGCCTTTCACTCGGTAACCTCAACCAGAGCGCTACCTCTCTCTCTCTCTCTCTCTCTCTCTCTCTCTCTCTCTTCTCTCTCTCTCTCTCTCTCTCTCTCTCTCTCTCTCTCTCTCTCTCTCTCTCTCTCTCTCCTCCTCTTCTCTCTCCTTCTCTCCCTCTCTCTCTCTCTCCTTCTCTCTCTCCTCCTTTCTCTCTCCTTCTCTCCCTCTCTCTCCTTCTCTCTCTCTCTCTCTCTCTCTCTCTCTCTCTCTCTCTCTCTCTCTCTCTCTCTCTCTCTCTCTTTTCTATCTATCTCCCTTTCTGTCACTAGTCCCTGTCTCCCTCATCTCGTATTCGGCCGGCGAGCCAACATTGAATAATAAACATACACGCAGACAGACTAGAAACATGACGCTTTCCTGTGAGGTAGCACTTACAGCATCTTTTGCTCATGGAAGAACGAGCAATAAAAAGCGTAAGAAAAGAAGACGGTGGAAAACGAAAGCAAGAGGAACCGATTAAAAGATGATGAATTGATAAGCGACGCAATAGACGGCCGATAACACTGATAACTATAGCGATACCTCTTCTGTTGCACTCAAACGCCCCTTCTTTTCAATGTCGTTTTCTTAAGAGAGTCTGTGTCGGTCACTTTTAGATTTTCCATTCGTTGTGTTTTAAAGTGTAAGAATCGCTTTCTCAGG